CTTTGAAATTACAAATAAAACAGAATTGTAGAGATTAAGGATTCTTAATTTTAGGGATAGCAATGGGCAAAGATAAGCTGTTTTAATGATAGAATTTTTATAACTAAAGAAATCTTTGCTACAGATACAGTGATAGCTTTAGAAGAATCTTTTGGTTTGCTTTGGTTTCATTTTAAGACAGGGTCTCCCTGTATCGCCAGTTGACCTGGAACTTGCTATGTAAACCAGGCTCGTCTAGATCTCACTGAGATTCCCCTTCCTCTGACTCCTGAGTGCTGGGGTTGATGTTGGACACTACCATACCCAGCTCTTTAATATAATCTTATACTTAAAAGCATTTTGAAATACACACACACTGTACACCACACAAACACACACACACACACACACACACACACACACACACACACTGAGTTCTGAGAATAAATTTTAGGGTCATGACAAACATTACAGGACTCACACAGTACATGTCAACCCAAACTCTTCCTTTGTAGCAGAGGTCGCTGTGTTATAAGAAGTCTACCACTAACTGAAGGAATAATGCTGACTCTATTGGTGGTTGAACTCAGAGTTATGTGCTCCTTACAGACTCCATTTTGCTATCTTTAGTGAACTTTAGTGTGGTTTACTCCATTATATGATTCTATAAAAGGTCACTGCTACTAAAATAAAATTTAACATTTATAAGAATAACAAGCATGTCACATTTCTGGAATTTTCCCAATAACTACTATGCAATATTTAGGCTTTCAAATTTAATCATTACAACAATTTGAATTTACATATTTCCATTTGATTGTTGAGAAAATATAGAAAAAAAATGGAAGAGCTTGCAAGATTTTTAAGGTCAAACAGCTGAGTGATGAAAGAAAAATTCAAACCTAATCTGCTGGAAATGAAAACCTATGCTCTGAAACTTTAAGCATCAGATAAAGTGGTGCTGACTGTAAGGGATGAACATGTGCTTTTGTGAACACAGAAAGAGATAGGGGAAATGCAGAATGAAGGGTGCCTTTAGATACTATGAAGTGGAGATTTTCTTTGCATCTAGAGGAGCTAAGTTACTTTAGAAGAGATTAATTCAAGTATTTTCTGGTTGATTTATTTTAGAAATCATATGGACATGCACACACAGATGGAGCCTTTACTTACAGACTAGCTTTCCTTATTCTTTCTGTCTATAATTAATCAGAAGGAGTAAGAGAGATTTTATTTATTTTTATTTTATGTGTCTGAGTCTTTTGCCTGCCTGTATATAAGTGTACCATTTGTGTCCTTGCTGTCTATGGAGGCCAGAAGAGGGTGTCTGATCCCATGGAGGAATTACAGAAGGTACTTAAGATACAATATACTCAAGGACATTCAGCAGAATTTTTAGGGTGACTTAGACAAGCAATCAATATGAAGTGCTAAAGATCATGGTATATATAATAGAGAGGACAGGAATAGCTTGTCTGCTGTACATGGCTGGACAGGTTAATCTCAAAAATAGCTTGGGCTGGCCAAGGGAGACGTTTGGGAAACATCTCCAAACTGCTTTCTCTTGTTGTTTGACTCAAAATTAAATTCCTCTGATAGATGCTTACTTAAAATATATAAATCAACATTTGGATTCATGATTATGAGAAATTTTCAAATCATAATTCATAAAGAAGTATTTTAAATTATATTAAAGATGGTAGACTTTATATATAATTACTTCGTTCAAAACCAAATGAATATACAAAATGAAATTCAACTTTCAAAAAAGCCTCCATTCATTTGCCAAGAGTTCATTCGTATGGAATAAAATGGCATCTCAGGTTTAATCCAGAGATGGAGAGAGCCAGTAGGAAATAGATATTAAGAGATTTATCATAAAGACTATCCTGAAGTGATTGAAATGCACACTGGATCTCCTAGGATGAAGTCAATGTCCAAGGGTAGAATTTCTGCACTTAAAAATTTTGTCTGTTGGGAACTGTCCCAGAAGATCAAATAAACAGTAGCCATAACTTAAAATTACATATAGGCTAGAGCACCTTCCACAAAACACCTGCCTTGAAGCACTTGATTAGCGTTTCAGTAACTGGAGACTGAGGTCTAGCCCTTTTGGCACAGAAAACTGCCCAGCACAGATGGTCTTTGAGAGTAGTTGTTAAACACTGGAATGATGCTATTGTTTGTTCATTTTGAGTAAAAATGAAGTTGAGGCCACAAACGGCCAAAGCCTGGAGAATAAAAGTCTGTAGAGTGTGGGTCCCTGGAAAGGACTCCTGTATTAAACTTCAGCCACTTGGGGCTCAAAGACCATTGCAGAAGAGGGGGCAGAAAGTTTGTAAGAGCCAGGGGAGGATGTATGTGACCATATGGAAACAGAATCTTATAGGCTCCTGGGAACTTGCTCATATGAACCCACAGCGATGGTGTCAGCATACACAAGACCCACGAAAATTCAAGCAGACAAAAACCCAGCTTAGAACTGAAGAAGGCAACCTTAGACCAACAGATCCCCAACTTAGCTGAAGAAATGTTTGCAGCTGACTGCTGCCTATAGCCAGTTGAGGGAGAGTTGGTCTTCTTTAAGAGAGAGACTCTAGTTAGACTAACTAGACCCTAGTGGATGAACTTGCACTGAGGGACATCTGGGTACACTAACTTGATTGGATAGGCCTTAACATAAATGAAAGAATGCATGAAATCCAGTGGGGTGGTCTATGTGGGTTCCAGAGAGAGGAGGACGTATAAAGATGGTTAAGATGTTTTGTATGAAATGTACAAAATTTAAATAAAAATACATACAAACATTAGGTAGAATTACTCAATTCAACATATATATATGTATCTTTAACTATTTTAAACATTAAAAAATGAAGTTAAATTTTGACCTAACATAGAAGTTTATTCTTGATAAATTACAACTCAGTTTCAGAGCTGACCAGTACAGAAGTCATTGCCATTGAGGACTAGGTAAGCATTCTTCTGGAAGTTCACTGACTCTCATTTATGCTTTCCTGGGAGAGCACTATGATCTCCCTCTCCAGCCGACAATGGTGCTTATGAAAGGGTGAGAGTGTTAACAAATACCAAATCAAGGCCACGTTAGCAAAGTGAAGTAAGCATAAGTCTACTTTAGGGATGACAAAGGACTTCTGTCTAAGCGTCTTTTTGTACCCTTGATGATGTTGAATATTGTAATAAACTACAATTTCCATTGTTTTAAGTACAACTGTTCCCAGTTGGTTTTACTGGTTTTTACAAAATTATTTTCTGATTCACTTCCATGTATGGGTGCTTTGGTATACTCTATGGATACACAATCAAAATACTAATATTAGCCAGGAAAAACTAAGCACCAGTAATAGTTACAAAGTATGGAACTAATGGTCTACTTTTTATAATTAGAAACTTCTCTGGAAAATGTATCTCTAATTCTCTCAGTGCTGTTTTTCTTCTAGAAAATATTTGTATGAGTGAGTCTATCAAATAGTTTTCTCTAACAGTGTCATTCATTGATGGAGCTCTTCCCTAACATTAGCAAGTTGTTCCTAGTCTTTACTTAAAACACCAGTCCTTACTAAGAGTGGTTTAGAAACTCTCTTATTACAAAGTACTCATCTTTCTTGGAAAAAAAAATATATAGACATATAACTTGACACATGATATAAGCATAATTTCAGGAATAGTTTGCTTTGCTTATGTAGTTTTGGTACCAAATATTGGTGCCAATTTCATATTGGGGGAAAAGTAGAACAGAAAACAGGACTATATTTTTATCTCTACCAGAGCTGTCAAACTCATAGATTTAATATTTGGCAATTTACACTGAGCTCTCAGTGTCTTAAAAATACCTCATGGTCCTTTAAGAATAATTACACATTTAAACTGCACAAAATAATGAATTTTACTCTTGCATTTTTGTATATTTATTCAGTGTGCTTTGTTCATTTTCTACTGCTCCAGCCAAATTGCACAAACTGGATAGTTTGTACACAACAGTAAATGAAATGGCTTGCTAGTCTAAAGGCTGGAGGCATAGCACTAGCATCTGGTGAGGGTCATCCCATGAAGGACTGTGGAAGTACAAGCAAACTTGTGAGAGTATCTGGCAGATCACATCCTTTTAATCAGGAACTCCTTCCTGACATAACAGTATTAATTCATGCAGCAGAGAAGAGCTCTCTTGGCTTAATCATGATGTAAAAGTCTCTTCATACTTTTAAAATAGCAATTACAATTCAACATGAGTTTTGGAGGAGACATTCAAACCAGAGCAGACAAGTATCATTTGTTTATACCAATTTGTTCTATTAGTAAATGACTTTGAGACTTAGGAAAGAATGATGTTTTTTACATAAAAATTATACATATAAGATTGATGATCTATGGAGCCTCTATAGTCTATCCACATTTTCTACACTCTTTAGTCAAAAGCTCCAATGTTACTGTGTATACTATAATGCATACAAGTTATCATTGAGATTGTCCTCCTTTTTCTCTAATGGGGATCTGATGTAAAACTAATACACTGCAAAGATGGCTTCCAGAGATGGAAGATTTTCTGTTTTCTGTGTAAGTTCAGTAGCTTTGGATTCTTCTTTCTTGGCCCAAAGTAGACATAAACACTGATCTTGAATGAATTATGGAGGCATAAATTTTTAGACTGTCTACTCTTGATTTATAGACAGTATTTCTCAGAACAGTGAGAAAAAAATGAGTCTTGCTATTTTTAATATTTCTTCATCATTCACATTTTACATTCTGCATCTGCCTAAGGCTGTGTTCAATGGTACATTTCTATAAACTGGAAAAATACATGGGAATTTATGAAACGTATTTTCAATTCTTGCTGTGATATTTCTGCTCCTTTAGTCAAAATAACAATAATTACCACAGCAATCAAAATACATAAAGTATGTCAACTATTGTTAGTGTTTTTCTAAAACTTTTGAAACACAGCTGGAAAACCTTATTGTTCAGTAACTGTTTTTTATTTTTCCTGGTAAAAAATTATTTCATAGGATTGGAGAAGGGAAGTCAGTACAGTTTCCAAGTGTCAGCCATGACTGTCAATGGCACAGGACCTCCTTCGAATTGGCACACAGCGGAGACCCCAGAGAATGACCTAGATGGTAAGACCTTACATTCTAGCTTCTTTCTTAGATGGGTTTCAGTAGTTCTATAAAAAATTTAGTGAACTTCAATGCAGAGGGCATTTATTTTGCCCTCATCTTCAGATGCAAAATTAAATAAGAACAAAAGTAATGGGATTTAAGAGGTCTAGTAATATTAATTTTGCATTAATTATAATCTCATGATAAGTTGCTCTTACCATAATCTGAAGTGTGATGTAGTTTTCTAATATTTTATTTTAAACAATTGGCCTTAACTATTTTCTTCACAAGAATTGCCATATTTTCTGACAGTAGTCACAAAATATATGACATACTTACCCTCTCTGGCTTTCTAAGTATACTCTTTCAGAACAATAGTAAATGTTTTTTGACTTGCTTTTGATATAATTTGTGTTAGATGCCATTTTTGTGCAAAAGAAAAGCCTACTTCATATGTCTAATTGATTGTTATCTTGAGGTATTCCTAGGTAAGATATTAGGGTTCATATAAAATTTGTGTATCAGTAAATTAAATCTGAGTTCAGTCTTTAAAAGCATCAGTGAAGAAAGTATTCTTATAATAAAAGCATCATGGCTGGAGCTGGAGAGATGGCTCAGAGGTTAAGAACACTGACTGTTCTTGCAGAAGACCTGGGTTCAAATCCCAGCACCCACATGGCAGCTAACAACTGTCCATAACTCCAGTTCCAGGGGATCCGACAGCCTCTTCTCTCCTCTGTGGGCATTGCACAACACAGGTACACCTACCTACATGCAGGCAATACACACATACACGTAAAATAAAATGAAATAAAATAAGCATCATGGCTAAATATACAGAAAACAAAATGAAGAAGTTTTTAAAAGTATGAAATGAAGTATTTGTAAGAATATATACATGTCATATGCAATTTGTTTTAAAGGTAGAAAAGTTGGGAAGTAATGAAAATAAGAGAAACATGTAAATTAAGTTAGGTGTTCAATTCTAGGACCAATGGGGCTGGAGAGATGGCTCGGCAGTTATAGACATTAGCTGCTCTTGCAGAGGGCCTTGGTTCAGTTCCCAGCACCTTAATGGCAGCTAACAATTGTCTGTAACTTCAGTTCCAGGGCATCTGACACCCTCCTCTGGCCTCCACAGGTATTACACACATGGGTACACTTACATACATGCATGTAAAACACTCCTAACACATAAAATAAAAACGTAAAATGAGCCCTACAGGAAGGCCTGGCAGCAGAAACACAGCTAGTCACACTGCACCAGTAGCCAGGAGACAGAGCATGAACAAGATATGGGGTCAGACCATAAAACCTCAAGATGGAGACCAGTTTCTGCAGCAAGGCTCTACCTCTAAGAAGTTCCCCATCCTTCCCCAAAAGTGCTACCTGCTGGATACCAAGAGTTCAAACAAATGAGCCTATGGGGAGGTAATTTCCCATTCATACCACAACTTGGATTTAAATAATATTTTGCAAACCTTGATGAATATCAGGCACTGGGCAATGTTCTGAGAATGAAATAATATGGGGGGGAAAGGGCAATCTATTCCTTGTGGAATTGAGAGTATAACAAGGGCAAGTGTGAAAAAAATGGGAAACGATCATTACCCTGCAAACTAATTAGAAGATTTATAGTGTCCCTTAAACCTGCATAAGGTATGTGAATGAAAGAGGACAGACAGAAAGAGAAAAGAAAAAAACTGATACTTGTGTTAAAACTGATACTTGAAGCCAGTCATGTTGGTGTTGGTTCATGTCTGTAATCATAGCATTTGAGTGGCTGATGTAGGAAATATTGCTTTTGAGGCTAGCCTAGTCTATCAAGGCAAATTCTTCACCAAAACAGCATCAACAGTAACAAAACTGATCATTGAAAACAAATAAGCATTACCTATGCAAAGTGAACATTAGCAATTGAAGAGAAGAAACAGAGAACAAATAGGTGCAGAATTGATGTCAGCACAGCGAGTATACTATTAGCATACTGAAAAAGCAAACAAACTTCAAGACTGAAACATAATTAATTTTGGACATAGGTAGGTTCAAATTCTGAAAGACTAAATATTGACCACGTTTGGAGCACTGTACTAAAATTTTCTTTTAGTAATTATTTCTTTACACTAGCTACATTATTATTAAAGAAATAATATAATTGCATTTAGGAGAGGTTGCTCTAAAGCATTAACAGATATTAGAAGTGTCTAAACATGGGCAAGCCAGTTATGCCAATACTAGAGCAATACTAGAGACAGTACTGGGATTTGCAAAAAAAAAAAGAGTCAAAGCTTAAAAATGCTGACTCAACTTATAAAAAAAAAAATCCAACTTCAGAAAGACTATTCCATTCACTAAAAGGTCAGGGGAAAGTTACACGTGTTTTATTTGTTCTAGGTATTTCTTAATTTATTTTATCAGGAATTATTTTAGATGCCAGGAGAAAATTAATAAAAAGTCCCTGCTCTCAAGGAGTGTAACTTTTATGCAGCTACAAATAGATAGAGTACTTATAAATAGTGGAAGGAATAGAGAAGCAAGAATTTATCTGATTAGGTAAAATTTATCCCAGACTTTAAGGAAAAGAGGGACAGCCATGGGAGTGGTCAGAGCCTTCCCAGCAGAAGGGAGGTGAAGATCAGCTGCCAAACAACGGGGAGCTGGCAAAAAAATTGATGAAGCTGGGCCAAGATCATGAGTTAATCATGATCCTTATGTTAAGATGATAAGCTTTAAACATACTTAATTTTTCTCTTTTGCATTAGAAATAACGTTTGAAGTTATGACGCTGTACTGTATCTCTCATCCATACTCAAGGGACAAACATTATAAGCTTTATTTCAGAGAAGGGTAACTTAACCTAACATCTGTCTTTGCCAGGCCAGCTAGGAATAACTAAGTTAGAGCCTAATACCTGATTCTGTGAGTTAACACCTAGGACAGGGGGCAGAATAAAGCCTTCTCTGATCCCATAGCAGTGTATGTAGGTAGAAATTTATGAAACAGAGCCACCGTGATTCAAGGTAAATGATTCTAAGAAGTGAGATCATATCATTTACCCAAACCTAGGGGCCATATCTCTTACTGGAAGGAATGCAAATAAATGGAGCAGAGGTGCTGGAGATCCTATGAAATATCCAGGATGAATGGAATTATGCACTTGACTTATGCACTTTCCCCTTGACTCCGAGTGAGTCAGAATCTAAGTAGAATGGACATGTAAAATTACAGCTTCTGAGACAGAAAACAACATTCTTTTAATTCCGTGATTTTCAATACTTATGCCTTCTTCATATGATCCAATTCATGCCTCTAGTTAATCAATAATCTGTATCTGGTACTCATGAGTAGAACCATAATAAATGCTTAGGTATGTTTGTCGAACTTTTCCACCCTCTTCCTTTAAGATTGCCTTTCTTCTACATGTAACATTCCTTCTTCCATTCTCCTTCTTTGAGCACTGATGCAGATATTAGGAACACAACTGAGAACCATAGGGTGCTGAGTGATGAAGTATGCAAACATGAAATTGGGAAGAACAGCTCTGTTGATGCATAGATAATGTACTGATTGGAAAATATTTCACTCGGTTGCATAGTAATAGAAGCAGGTATTTTAAGGAAAGGGTGTTTTGACAAGTATGATTATGAAGAAGAACACAGGAATATTATTTCAGAGAGTGCCTTTAGTATATTACCACTGCGATTCCTGGCTCAGAAAATGTGTCCTCGTTTATTTGAATGTTACTCTTTTACCAGTCCATTATCCTAACATGCTTCGAGTTTTGTTTCTTTTTAATTCTTCTGCAAATTCTGCATAACGATAATTACTAAAACAGTTCTTGCCTTTTCTCAAAATACATATTTTAGGAATCTGAAAATCAAATAAGTAAAAAAGGAATCTAATGGAGTTGGTACTTCTATTTTTTCCTTTTTAACTGAATTTTTGTGAATTTCATATAATATGCTTTTATCATATTTAGATCCCTTATCTACACCACCTTATGACCCTCTTCCCAATTCTATGTGCTATGTATATATACATATATATATGTTATATATCAAATTTGCGTCCCAGTTGCCCTTCTGTGTGGATCCATCCACTGCAGCTTACCTCTAAAAGAGACCAACGCTCCCTCTTCCAGCCAGCAGCCATTGGTTTCTAATAGTTCCTCGGGGTTGAGGCTTTTCACCCTCATCTCCACTTCTACTCTGGGATTTTGCCTGACTTGAGCTAACAAGGTACTTGTGCATTCTGTCCTTTCTTGATACAATATTTTTACAGATTATGAGATTATCTTTTTAAGCATAATAAAAACTAACTGCCCTTTCAGAACATTTAGCTATATGAATAAGATTTGCTTTTCTTCCACTATAAACTCTTGTATAAATTCACTGTAAGAGATTAATAGAATTGGTCCTTAAGCCTTCTTTACTGACTCATGATGACTCTCAATCAAGACACTAAAATTAAAATATAGCCTCTTTTCCTTCTTATTTTCTTTGGATAGCACCATTCAGATATTAAAAATCTAATTCTTGATAGGAATGACTCTGTAACTGAATAGACCTGGTTGACAGTGAACAGGAGCAGGTCCAAAACAATACACATGTGCACAAACATCTGCACACAAATGCACACTTACAAGCACACACATATCTATATTTAATTGAAGGGCATTTTCTTTAACTATTTACCTCATTTTGACTTATTGATGTAATGCTTAAGTCATAAAATAATGTATAAATACCTTCTACACAAGCTTTCAGGGCTCATGTTCAGAAGCTTTGAATCCAAAGCATTCCAAAGAAAGGAATTTGCACATAAAATTGCTTTGATTTTTCCATAACTTAATGATAATGAAAAAAACAAGAATTTTGAAAACATGTGAAATGGAAAGCATTCTTGTCCACAGAAAAAGAAATCTGTACAGAAAGAGAGCTGCAATATTAGAACTCTTGATTACCTTGTGTAGTGAAATGACTCCCCTCCCTAAGTCTCCTGGTGAACTCCAGAAACAA